CCCCCCCCCCCCCATTGACTAACAATAGGGTCATGATTCAAGGAATGCTGAGGGTGGGGTAACTGCAGCAAAAATCATCTGTAGGATGAATGAACAACAATGGTCAAATTTACAGGTTCAGTAACGTTGCCAAGCATTTGTTACTTTTTTAAGGGCATGCCAATGTAAAGAGGAGTGTGGCATGCCACAATAATCAGATCAGCCTGCACACACAACAACTACAACAATCACATATTGACTCTGAACAGCTCCCTTAATGTGCAAACTCAAATTCCAAGAAGACCAAAAATTTACAGTGCCGAGGAGAATTTGGCTTTGCCCCCGGACTTTTTCAACTCAATAATCTTCGTCCAAGCGCATGGCTTCTACCCCTTTGACTGCAGACTCATAGTCCTTGCCACCGGAAGTGTTGATGTGTTTTGGAGGGTCTGTGGAGCTTCTTTGTCCTCCGTACAATTTCTGTAGGGCCCCTGGACTTATATCAGGGGTTCGCGACCTTGTGTTGTCAGAGTCATTCCCAATGGTTAACGTTTCGCGCCCACCGGAGACTCTCCTGAATGACCCGCTTGATCTTCCCATAAAGCTGGAGCTTGACACCTGCAAGGTTATTGGTTCAATTTGTTTCAAAGGCACAAGACCAACGAAATGCTACACATTCTTTTTCTTTTTCTCTATATATAAGGCATGATTCTAACATTTTTTCATCGCGCCAAAAAAATTACACTGTTTAGACAAAGCTGACTTTCATGCAATTTGCCATATATATACCAAAAATGATATAGAAAGGGTTACATACGACAAAATTACTGGAATCAGTAAATACATGTAAAATATGTGATTCAAGATTCATGGCATCTGTACTTTACCAAAATTAAGAACTAGTATTGTCAAATATGGCTTTTTGGGAGGCAGGTAGTATAATAAAAAGACATTTCATTAATTCAAGCTAAAAACTTGCAATCTAATCTTCAATTTTAAAAACCTTTAGTTTGCAACTAGGGGTAACTTACCATAGGATCTCTGCTTGCAGATTCTATTCTAATAGGACTTTTCTGCTTAGACAATCCAGTTGAATTTACAAGTGGCCCGGAGATTCTCCTTCGGGAGGAATCACCTAATTGTCTCGCTTCTTCCTCACCTGCAAAAACTAAAGCAACTAAATATTGTAGGAAGTTGATAAATGAAGTCTGAGAAAGAATATATGACCTTGCAAGAGGTGCTAGATTTAAGTTAACAAGTTCCAAGACACAAAACTTAGGGCAAATGATAGTAAGGTACCAGGCTGCTGTTCCGCATTAGGGACCAGAGGGGGCATCCCAGAGCTGGTTCCAGCACCAGCACCCTTGCAAAAGCAACAAATAATTAAATGTGATGAATATCTTATATTCCAACCATACAGTGCTATACACCTACTTACAAGAGCCCGAGGAGCGGGAGCTGAAATCTGTGATTGCTGATATTTCAAAATAGTCCAATCAAAGATATAGTCAAACTGGAATCCTGCGAACACAATAAAATTTAAGATAAATTGCCATTTTTTACTACAATATCCCGAAAAGTCATGATTAAACAACACCCTCCATACAGCTTTTTTTATTTTGGCACGGAACAGCTATCATGCTCATGAAACATACATTTTTGTTTTTTGGGTGGTTTAACTAAATTTATCAAATATATCTGACTCTTTTTTAGCAATCTGCATAAAGACCTAGGTTTCATTTCATTAAACTTAATGTTTTCTGATACAAAGAATTGTTTTTGAAATAGAACTTTTTTAACAGAGTCTGTTTATCTGCTACTCTGTGATGCATTTTACTATTAAATGAATCCAAGGTACTAGTCCTAGCTAAATATAATCACCTTCGCGGATGAAGAGGTCACGGAAGATTCTCTTCAGATAAGCATAATCTGGTTTGTCGTCGAACCGAAGTGAACGACAGTAATGGAAATACGACGCAAACTCTGTAGGATAGCCTCGGCACAAGACCTGCAAAAATGACATTAGTCTTCATTCTTCCAACCAAAACCAAGTAGAAGGATTTCTAAAAGCAAAGTTAACATAGAAATTACCTCAATAGAAGTT